GCTGCCTAGCTCATGCTGGTGGCCCCCACTGTCACCATTGAAAAGCACTAGCCAAAACAACAGCTTGCTTAACTGAACCTTCTCTCAGAGACAAGTCATGCACACCTCATTTGACTCTCAAATAGGTAGAAGTCCCAGTCTGTGTAAACGAGAGTCAGAGCTAGCTGGAGTCAAATGAAAGACAGTTTTACTCCAGCAGGAAGAGAGGCTTTAAGAAGCCAGTTTAAAATGGGACAGAAGCCCTGTGAGAAGCCCTGGACAAAAACCGCAGCATTGCTCATCTACCTCTCTATTGCTTCTAAATTACCAACCCACTTGGGACATATAGCAAAGGAGACCTTTCTGGCAATTATACAAGCATATCAGCAAGCATTTAATTTAAGAATTAGTCTAAGATGCCTGTGTGTCAAATTTCCCATCTTACCCAGCAACACCGCTATGCATGGCTTTCCTGACTATTGCTTACCTCTTTTAACTTGTCCAGCTCATTTTGCAGTGTCTGCTTGGATACTTCCACCTCAATGATTTGCTGCCGAAGGATTTCATTTTCATCTTCTGCTTTAACACGTTTCTCCTCCACACTCTCCAGCTCATGGTGCAGTCTGACAGAAACATCTTTGGCTACCTGGTCAGAAGAGCACAACACATGAAGAAGATCCATGAGTAGCAACAGCTACAGCATGTCTCCTACAGCAGGAAACATATTACAGCCCTAGACAGCTGAGAGATTTTTTAATTCAATTATGAGACTGTTGATGAAAGGCTCCAAGCCTTCCAAGTACCAAAATGAATATTCATTTCTAATAAAGAAATCCAAAATGAAAATATATTTGATTACCCGTCTCCAGCTCCCTCTCCACATTATGTTAAGGCAATGTCATGAACAGCAGGAGGAAACAAGCAGATACCAAGCCTTCCCATCAAAGTCCTAGCATATCATGTCGATAAAACAAAAGACAAGGAATTGTGCTGTAAAGTTGACAGGCCATCGATCAAAGCCGCATCCATGCAGCAGTCTCATCCACCCAAAGTTGCTGCTCTAGCTGCAGCCACAACTAGGCAAGAGTGATATTAAAGCACAGAAATAAAGCTAGCTTAGGTTTTCTGAGTCCAGCCTAACAAAAATAAATATGTAATCAAAGAAACATTTGGAAAGGTGATTCATCACACAAAATGATGAATACAAGAAGTCAGCAAAATCAAACCAAACAAACTAAAAAAACCTCAGTATCTCTTTCATTTGAATCTATGTACAAGATTTTTACTGAGTAATGTATCCTTTCTATTATTTTAAGGTTATAATTTGTTTTCTATCATAAAAGAGAAAACTAGTTCTGACATTTTGAAATGTTTGATGACTTGATATGTCACTCTCTATTTCCACTGCTGGGAACCAATCATTCCAGTTTGAAAGGTTTCATGTTTTGCATTTTTAAGTACAAAATGATAATAATTCTAGTGGTAAGCAGTCCCTCCTCTCTACAGAAGATACTTTCAAGAGCTGCAGGATAGCAATATTAAGAAATATGAGTAAAGCCAGACAAGCATCGTGCCTATGCAAAGCTTAGCCTTGATGGAAACACTTCTGAAAAAACATAAAAACTGTTTCAGTTTTATGAACTTTTTGTTTTACAGTAATTTGTGGGTTTATGTGAAGGGCATTTTGATTCTCTATCTGCCTTGATATAGTATTGTCTGTTCCTGTTATGAGGCACTAAGAAATGGAACTTTGACTAGGCTTACTTCCAATTATTTGGCCTAGGCAAGAAGTGAAAAGGAAGAAAACAACATGAATTGGGAATAGCATATCAGGTTTTGTTTATACAGTTTTGCAAAGCTATGGTTTTCAGTGAAACCAATAAAACAAGACCCTTTTAATCTTCCAAATGCACAAATGTAACTTGACAGCATTCCTTTCATTTTTAATCTAAGCACATGTTTTTTACTCACTAACACATCTTTTTAGGAGAATAAGCTGAATATTTGTTCTCTACCACTCAAGAAGGAAATTGGTCCTGACACTAGGAGAACTATTGCCTGTTTCATGTGTCACCCTCCCTTCCATTGCAGGGAGCCACATCCTGGTCTGTCCTCTTTCACTATGAATATGAATCCCTCACCCACCTTTAAATCTTGTTCCAGGCTCCTAATGAGCTCTCCGTCCACATGGCCTGTTTGTGCAACTTTCAAGCTTTTCTGTTCTGCTTTCCTGAGACGATATTGCAGAATGCGGCAATTCTTGTTTGCCCGGTCCAGCTCTCGCCGCAGCTCCTGCAGCTGGTAAACATCTTCCTCTAAATAGCTGTCACGCATTTCTTCCATTTCAGCCCGAAGTTCATCCAGCTCATCCTGTGGGAAGTCAACACAGTGCTCCATCATACCTCTGAATCTCACCCATGGGAGAAAATAGGAAACATGCTCACTAGGATACCATATTAATGAAGTGATACGGATTGAAACATTCAGCTCCAGAAGTCATAGGAACAGAAGTTTCATCCCAACATTGACTAATTATGCTGAACTAAGTTAATGAATACTTATTATATTTCTTACAATTGCTGTAATATTTAAAAACAGAGCAGAGGCTTATCTGTCTCCTGAAACTGGCGACACCTTCATTTTACTATCTCAAACTAAAATAAAACATGCATCTCTGAATTTGCATATTATTTTTATATATATATGAAATGCACATTATTTAGACTACAGTAAACCTATTTAACCAGCTACATCAGCTTCTCTGCATGATGTGCCTTTCAACAACCAGCACTTCCTAAAAATGAAATTGTCCCTTGAAAACTTGAATGAATCTTTACACCAAATACTGAACTGCTCCATACGAAAATGCTGTCCCATCTGAGCGTAGCACAGTGCACACGCTTAGTGACAGATGGGTTGGGTGTGGTAGAAAGCAGGTGTCTGTTGTGTGCACACACATTTCAGTAACAGCACTACCAGGGCAAAATAAAACCTGTGCCCTGGTCCTTCTTCTCTGGGCATCATGAACTGTCCCAATTTGACATCACACCATGAACAGCACATGCTCTCTAAAGTCAGATTTAAAGACTTACGACTGAACAGGATAAACTTTATCATTCCCATTTGTTTAATCTGTACATGACTGAAGCTCCAAAGCTAAAACTCTTACGAAGGTCTTCCAAGCCCAGAGGTACAAGCCATTAAACTACGGCATGACTATGTAATGCATGTAAAAACTATGACTACTAACTTTGAACAAAGATGGGGGGAAAAAATAATCAAGAGATATTATGAGCATATTTGAAAATAACTATTAATTTTTAAATTATTTTCTTTAAAAATTGTATTCAATGTTATAAAGATCATTTTTTCCTGTGGAAAACATGGTTTGAATAAGTTTCAAGGAGAACTTGCACCAGAGCTAGGTGCACCATCACCTCACTTCAGATATGTAAATAACACTTGAAATACCAAGGATGGCTGGAGAATATTTCACACTTGTATTGGTCAGAGAAGGCAACTGCTATGGACATAGCTCCCTTGACAAAGCTCCCTCCTAGGCTGGACCATGCCTGTCCAGTCCCTCCATGAACATGTCTGCCTACATCCCCCTGGTAGTCCTCTCAAACATTCCCCCTTCCCGTGGCCTAACTGGATGGACAGTCATGTTTTTATCTATATTCATCTTGCTCCACTGAAGCTTTAGTAACAAATAAGGGACAGATCTTGTCTCTGAGCAGAGTCCTGACCAAAGGAAGACTTGTCAAACTTCTTAAGCCTTGTTAGCATAGTTATATTAGAATTACAATGTTACTTCTACCAAAATCCCATCCACATATAAAAAGTCAAGTATTTATACAGCTATGTTTTAACTGCAGTTAGTTGAGCCAGCGTAAGTCAAATTTTGGATAAGCACAAAGCTTGTTATTTCCAAAATGACCACTCTGGGCTCATCAGCAAGGCTTTGCTCTACCAGTACAGCACTCCCAGGATTCTACACAGTTCTCCCTGGATGCCCAGCAAGGACAGACACTTTTTCACACAAGCCCATTATATCATTATACATTCCCAATATACTCAGATTTCAGCTGTAGGAGCATCCTGTCCCATAGTCTCCCTGGGACAACTGGAGGAGTAAGATATTTGCATGGATGGAGAAGCAAAAGGGTTACTCCCCAGTGAGCTGGATCACACTCGTGCCATACACTATCTGAAAAGGAATAGTGTAAGCACAGTAACAGAAGTTACCCTTGCAGCAATGACATCCTTGAAAATACATTAATTAACCACAAACAGCAAACTGCTGTTTGGAAGCAAATGAGCTCTACAGACCAAACCCAGTAGGATTCGTTCAAAACTATTTGTGGTCCAGGCCCTATCTACCTCTCAGGATACAGGCAATGACTGGCCAGTTTACAGGCAACACACTGGTGAAGTCATTTTGATAAATGACTGATACTTTTAAGAAGAAAAACACAGAAGCAAGTGCTTGAGTGAATTGGGGAGGAGACCTGTTTTTTTTTTCAGTGTAGACATTTTTCCACATTTATTGACACTTTCAAGAGGTAAAGTAAAAGTTTACCCCATAAAGATGGAGATGCATAAGAAAATGTTGAGGTTTTAGAAACCGATTAGAGAGTAGCAGTGGCTTTTGAACCTCAGAAAAGGAGTATACTTCTGTGTTACCAGTTTATGAGCTAAGGTACTTATACCAAAAGTACAGTCTTTACCTGTGAGAGCTAATACAGCCTTCTGGGATGAACAGGACCAAAGTTATTGCTTAGAGCTGTCTGCAGACTCAGGAGCTGAATCTACCTCAACTAAATTTAAGTTAAATTTACTTTTTAACATCATCTTCAGAATGCTGATGTTAGATTAGTAATTTGCTTGTAAACTGAGAATTTTGAAACACAAGCCCACAACAAAGGAAAATACCTGTCATCAACAAATTAATGAGACCTGTTTATAATCTGATGTTTATATCTAAAAGCTAAGCAATGGCTTTCATGTATTGAGTCCTGCAAAAAGCAACTACAATGTTATTGCTCATCTCTAACTTCCTTCTTATCTATATATTTATCAGTAAAATCTGGATGGTTTCTAAAGACAAATAATGCACAATATTTGCCTTCAAAGCATTTATTACAACCAAATTTGGAAAGTGAAAGTTACAGCATTTTAAACAACCCAATCCCTGGAACAGTCATCCTACTGAAAATTAATATCCCCAGATGCTCTCTCAGTGGGCATGGGAGCTCTCCCAGCCTTAAAAGTCACCCTGTCTCCATTAGAGACTTGAATCTGAAGTCTTTCCTCCCACCAAAGAAGTTCCACAAAGAGCTGCAAGCGTTGGCATGAGCTGTATTTCGAAAGATAGGCCTGTCTTTTACTTCCAAAAAACTCAAAGCCTGAAGTTTTCTCAACCTTAACAGCACAACTCTGATTTTACAAGTGGGGGGGTGGGGTTTTTGTTGTTTTGTTGGGTTTTTTTGGGGGGGTGGGGGTGGCGTTTGTTGTTGTTTGGTTTTTTGTTTGGTGTTTTTTTTGTTATGCTTGCCTCTGGTTTTGGTTATACACAGTTTCCTTTTCTCCAGTGTAGTTTTGCAGATAAACTGAAATTTGGGGTACAACCAAGAAGGCTGTACTTTGAAACTTCTTTTCTGTCTCTTTTTTTTTTTTTCTAACTGCTTTAAGCTTCTTTCCCACTCAATTATTCCTTTTTTCTGCTCCCAAAACTTTCATACAGAAATTGGACTGTGTCCCAAGCCCTTGTATTTAGGAATACAGCATCCTTCAGACAGCTTTAAAACGTGGCAACATACATGCAAACACAACGCAGGCACAGACATTTTGGGTGCATAAGAAGTGGAAACCTCACCATACAGGCTACATTTAGCCCACTTTCTGTTGTTACTGCAGTGCCTGGGGCTTGGACCTACATAGTCAGTCCAGCCCAGGGAGAACAAACCCAAATGGGACAGATGAGTAGCAAGATGAAGTCCTATTTTTGCATATTAAAAAAAATATATATACAGAAGCATGCCACCTCTGAAACATCAAAATAGAGAAGAATATATGGCTCAGATTTTGTATGACTGCACACAATTATGGATGCTGGGATAATCTTTTACTAGTCATAGTAAAGACATAGTCTTGCTCTCAAATACAGGCCACAAAACCACTGTCAAGGTTGTAGATGCTTCCAGTTCAACACAGCTTATTCTCCTTAGAAGGTACTAGCAAGTCTGCCATAGATGCTGAAACCTTGCGTTAGCGTCTTCTAACTCAGAGCTGTTATGGTTACACCTACAAAACTAGGACACCTTAAACTCCTCTTCTGAAGTGCTGTGTGCACACAAAACGGAGGCAGGTAAGTTGAAGACCCCGGGAAGTTGAAACTACAACTGAAACTATGATGGTCCTACTTACTAAACTTGCAAACCTACCACTTTGAAGGAAAACATGTTAGTCATTAGAGAAATCAAAGGTAAGTCAGAACCTTGAAAATCCCAAACTTGGTAGTTTGCAAAAAAACCAAAAAATAAACAAACAAACAAAAACAACAAAAAACCCCACCCCAAACAAACAAACAAAAAACCAACCAAACAATCAAAACCTTTGGCTGTGAGGTGGTTGGAAACACTAGATAAACCCAATCCATGTCTTCATTAAAACATATTGTTCATACTACTATGATTATTGTGAGTGAGAATTAAAGCTCTCTCTCAGGAGGTATTGTGTTTCATACTGGGGATTTTAATATTGTAAAACTGAAGAAAGAGGTCAGAATAGGCACTTAAAAGTAATTAAAACAAACAGGTAAGAAAGCAACCATCCCTCTTTGTGCACCAAGAAAACTGAGAGCCTGCTCCCTTCTTTAAACAGGGAGGACCTGCTGCAACATTACAAAGTGGCAATTGAAATTGGGAGGTTAAGTGCTGCCATAAGAAGCTTTATTTTGCTGTACATTCCTGTAGGGGATGAGAGCCTCCTCTTGATCCCTTTTAATTTAATGGTAATTACATTATTACTTTCAGTAAGAAAAGCAGCAGGCAGAGAGTCCTGGAATATTGTTTCGGAAAAATCTAAACTGCTCTGCTTTCCAGATGTCACCCTGGTCATCAGAAAGAACAAATGGAAGATTGAGAAAGAAAACCTTCTAACTGCCAGCTTTTTCCAAATTTGCAGTGGAAATCTAAGTTGCTCCTGAGTCTAACCACTTATAGTTTCAGGCACTTGGTCCAAATGACTTCCCAAAGGTCAGCTATTTGGGGTCTAGTAAGAATCACTCATCTGAGATTCACAGGGTGACTGTATGAACACAGGGCGACACTTAAATAGCTGCTCCATTTGCAGGATTCCCCTGGATGTCAGTGCAAAGGCAACAGATTTAGGAT